TGCAAATAGGCAAATCAGAGTACTACACCACGAGCTCTGGTGATTCTGCAATAATGGGTTTGACGCATTCTTTAACGGTTTATACTGTTATTTTAATGTACCTTTGAGGCTTTCTTCATTGCTTTCTGAAAATATCAGGACTTAACTAACTGAGTTCTAAATAAAAAAAAATTAAAATAATCAATACTTGTGACTTCCTGAATTTTTTTTATCATTGCAACTGAAATATTTTTATCCTGCGACAAAACTGCCTTATCAAAATATTCTGCTTTAATAAGTTTTTAAATAAGACATGTGTTTTTTTTTTCAAAAATAGCAATTGTTTTGTGGACAGTTGACAATGTATTTTGGAGGTTAGTTCCAGACGAGGATTGTATCTTTTAACATGTGTTGTAGGCTTTTACACTTAAACTTGAGAACATATAAAAACTCTTTTGTTTGAATCACGTTTAGCTAAAAAAAAAGTAAACAACTCAATAAAGCACATTATTATTTCAACACTTATTTCGTAGCACTGACCTAGACTTAGCACTAATTTAGCATGATTGTATTGGTTGATTTGTATTTTGACTAGGGCTAAGGGTAAATTATTCTTTAAACCTATTGAATACACAAGATAAAGAAATAAGAGCAAAGTAAGTTAGAGTAAGTAATTTGAACATGTTAAAGTATGAAATAAAGACACATTGAACCTGATCGGAATGATAAATTTACTAAAACCAATTTGAATTCACCAATTACAGAAGTAAATCCTATTTTTGTGTTTGAAGCAATTAGGTTCTATGTTCTTTTAAAATCATTTTCCTACAAAAGTTTGGTTCTAAAGAAGGTGAGAACAAATACATAGTGTTGATTCAAGAAACTATTATTATGTAAATATAGGTCTGCAAGTATTATGCGTCAGTGTTACAAACTGTCCTTCTGGTAATAACTACTTCTGTAGAACCTCTACATATCAAACATGTTTCACAGAAAAATTAGGTTACGGGAACCATTGAGTCAATGTGGGTATGAGTGACTGATCAAAATCTACCATTAAACAATTTGATTTATTATTAACCCTCTAACTCAATTAATCATTGTTTTCTGTCAAGCTTACCGCATAAAACTCTAGCTGAGTTTTCCTTAAAATAAATATATTTTCTCAAAACGTACGAGGGTGACATTAGTGGGTAGGTTACGGTCGGTGTTGCTGGGAAATGGTGCATCTCGGTCAACCCCCGCACACATTACTCAAGTACATTGCAGGTTAGGAACTTCGGTATTCTTATATAAGGGCATGGCTCCTGAACTCTAGTGTTTTAAATGCCAGAGTATGCATGCACCTTTGGGTTTTATCTTCCACAAGGGATACTTTGTTCCAGTTCCACTACACAAAATCCATACTTTATTCATTTTATATTCAAGCTAGAAGATTTAAAATAATAAAATTTAAATTTCTTTGGGTTATTATCACATTATTTGTGTTTGAATCAGCAGCACCCTTTATGAATTTTCGGTTTTATATAATCTAGCGGTTACCCACGGGCTTCATCCCGTTTGACTTCATAAGTATTAACAAAACTATTGATTGGTTGAGTTAAGCTGAAATAAACAAAAAAGAATACGGTAATACAAACAAATAATCACACCTGATGATTTTAATAAGGTAACAAATTGAAAGAATAACAAACAAATAAGTACAGCTGGGGTATTTTTAACATTGGGTATATGGTAAGTTCCCTTTAGAAAGGAATTACCCTACGACTTCAAAGACCAATTTATGAAGTAATGGATAGTTTTACGCAAGGACTTGAGTTTTCTCAAAAGTTCATGGGTACTTTGGTATTTATATATGGATATATCTTCTTTAGATGCTTTTACCTCAATGTGAACTTGTTTACTTTAACAATACAATATTTCAAATAAGGAACACATTATAAATTTATTTATGAAGTTTAAGTTAAATTGGTCTCCAAGCCCCATATATCTAAGATCTGTGTCAATGATAATGGGTTTCATCGCCGTGTATCATAATGAATCCCCAATACTCACAGGATCCTTATCACGACAATCGCCCACCCCCTTTAAGTCGTCGTCCGGCTTTCTGGGCAGCTCACAATCTGATGTTATTGTGATATTGTTGTCCATAACGTCTTACTCTATCATCTAGAAGACACGTGTTTTAGCTTGTTTGATTCGCCTGTATCATCAATAGTTTTGTTTACTGTGCGATACTGATCCATCCAATCAAAATCAAGGTTCCTATAAAAGACGTAAGAAGTAACATCCCTAGGTTTCTATGCTTCAAGTAAGACGTTTTACATAAATGTTCTTATTGGTTGTTAAGAACGTGACAAACATTAATTTAAAAGTCACAAAAAGTTACAAATAGTTCAAACTGCAGTTAGATGAAGCAATATATAATCATAACTGAATTAATTCCGAAATTAATTGATATCTACATTGAGTAATGGCCTCTAGTGTCACACAGCACGAAGAACATTAGCCATTAGCAACACGCTAGTGACGTAAAGCTGTATTGGAATACAGTTTTTATGGCTACACGATCTATATCGGACGGTTATTTATAATGCAGCTAATGCAATTAATGGGCAGAGATAACAATATCTTTAGCATTAGATGTCAGATTAAATGGAGTAATTTCCTTAGTTTCTAACAGGCTGAGGTAAGTAAATGGTGGAATCGCGTGTGTGACACGAGTTACGTTGCCTACAAGGGACACGACTGCCAGGGCTGGACAATTAACTATACTATTGGCATCGCAAATATAGGCTGTTATGCCTGTACAGGTGTCACTCCAAATACTAGAAGGGATTTGTAGGGTGTTCATGTAACCATTACTTTAATTAATTAGAATTATAACCAATAGTTCAACGCGCCCCCTCCCCCACAAAAGAATAAATCAAAGCTACAGCTTAAAATACGTGTTACCAAAGATCGTAGGAAATTCAACTATGGCCAATTTTAAAGCTGGAAGTTTTTTTTTAGAATCATTCAACAGTAATCAGCTGTTTCATTGTTGTTAGCATTGTTGAATGTTTAAAACATATGGAGTTACGGTTGAAAGTACAGTATTGGATGGTTTGTAGAGACGAAATCTGTGGTAAAAGTGCAACAAAGATTTCGACTGTCTTCAATCTAAATCCACCACTAAATCCATCCAGAAACAGTGATGGTATCACAGTAAAAGGATTCTGTAAACATCGGCCATAACAAGGTTACGTAAGGCCTCAGCTATTAAATGAAGCTTTAATCAGCATTTGAGATTCATATCTTCAAATCCTTACAAAGTCACTTCGAACTGCTAAACATGAGTTATCTAGATATAGGTCTAGTTTTCACAGCGCTCATCACAAGATACTACACTTTCGAGCATATATAGGCTTCAAGTTTTGCTATATTTGGAGCCCAATGACATTCTAACAGTTCCGTAAAGATTTTGCGAGTGATATGCTGGATATAGTTGACGAAGACAGCAAGTTAAAAAAAAAATTATGAAGCAACCTTCTAAATTTCTGGAAGGGTCGCGTTGGTCCCATATGGTAGCCCCCTAGATCTTCAGACGTTACCCCATGTGATTTTGTGGGTTTGTGAAAAATCAAGTGTATCGCTCACCAATCGCAAACATAGATGAACTTTAGGAAAGCCTATGGAAAATATCCAATGAAATGCACCTCAATCAGGAAGTGAGAGCTTAAAAGCCCGACATGACTTTCTTACATTAAATAAAGCTGGGTTTTCCTAGGAACGGAAGTAGAGCTCCCTTTCCGCCCCCAGGAAAACCCAGGCTAACTGTAAACACATAGAGAGGTTAGGTGGTGAAACCATTTTAGGGAAACTTTAGAAGTTAACCTGTTAACTTTAATAGTAGTACTTTTAATAGAGTTTATACCCGTTTACTTTTTATACGTTCTTTTTAGGACACACAGTACCAATATACATTCGGGTATTTTTCGAAAAGCACCACTGATATCAAAGTATTGTTATTGAGTAGAGGTGTAAATGGTAATAAATAAGTTTGCACTCTATGCTAAAAATCGTGTATTTATGTTTATGACCGTATTAATTAAGATGTATTCCAACCCAATGAGCTATTATAATGGAAAATCCGTATTAATAGTTAATCCTTATTAAATTACTATTTTACATAAGACCATTTTTTTAAACCAGCCGGTTCAGTCCAGTTCTCAGAATTGAAAAGATTCACTTAACGACATTGTTTTTATTACCAAACAACACGGGTACTAACGGACCAATGAGGTTAAGGATTGAGAAAAAATCATTAAAATTGTAATGATTCAAACTTCAACTAATCAGCTATTCAGTCCAATTCAATTGTTAATGAGTGGTGCAATTAGTGTTTGATAAAATGATTCGTTGCATCACTGTCAGTGGCAAAGAGAGGTTATAAACGAAAACATAACCTCTTTTAGAAGCTATGAGTAGTGATTGTTAGGTAAAGTAGTGTATAAAACTCGCGTAAATAGTCTTAACGACACTCTTAGAAGTTTTTAAGGCACTCGCCAAGGCTCGTACCTTAAATTTTGTAGTCGTGTCGTTAACACTATCTTTATGCGATCGTCGCGTTAGCTTCTATTGCGCAAGTCACACACGTCATACGTAAAATAGTTACAGTATGTTTTTCGTATTTTCAAATGTTCACTTTTGTAGTGACAAAATCAACGATGTTCTAGGTTGAATAAAACGCTTAAGGACAACTTAAACATGGTTTTATTATAATTATTATTAAAATGTAATATTTACATCGAAGAAGGGTTTATCAATTTGATATTTTACAAGAATTGTTGGAGACAGAGCCTACCTATAATATGAGCCTTAAAACTTTTCAAATGTAAAATACATTTTCCTTTCTCAAACAATTATTATCAACATAGCTATGAAAATATATTTCATGATCAAATATAATGTTTTTCAAATTTACAGGTTAAACTATAATTTATTGTTCATGGTTTTGTCCCGTCTGATTGTTTCATTGAGAAGTTTGAAATTAGAATATCAATCTTTAGCAATACCTTACAAATAATATACGAACGAGGAAGACCTTTAAGATCCATATATAAAAATAAAAATTTATATGGCTACATTCTTACTAATGTACGTAAATCCAATTATTTATTGAATATTTTAAACCTGTTTGTGGTGAATTCACACAATATCCACAAACCATATTTCCTTATACGAGTATCGAAATGAAATTATGTTACAATGTTTCATTTAAACCTATATAATTCATTATGTATATTAAAATTGCAAAATTAAGTTTAATTTTGCTTGGACAAACAAGTGTTTAGTAAAAAGTCAGAAGATTTTTACATTTTCTATTCAACAATGACATTGATTCGTGTATTTTGAAAAATACACAAATAAGCGGGAAAGTGTGATAATAAAACAAATAAGATTCCATGAACTATTTAAATGTAATATTTATTTAAGAGAGAACATTGAAAATAACACTTTTTACAAATTGCGACAATTCTAAAACATTTTTTGAATTAACAATTGTGTACCGTTACTTCAATATTCAATTGTAGACCATTTATTTATTTTTTGTTAAGAAATTTTCAAAACGGCATATTAAAATATTTTTAAATATACATGAAATCACACGTGAAGAAAACTGAAATAGACAATGAGCTGTAGATTTTATATCAATTGTGAAATAGCTCCTGAGTCTAGCGGTGGAAAAATATATTTCACAGTAAAATATGTAACAACCAGTACCTAACTGAAAACACTCCAAAAACAATAATTAAAACGTGTGACATAAAATAAAATAAATAAATCTGTTTCTCATCTGCTATAACATTAAGTTTTGAAGTATTTCAAATCCACGTAATAATACGGTGAATAAGCTTAGAAAGTCTGAGTTGTAATTCTTCATATTTGAACGTTGCAAACCTTCTTCGAGCCACAAGCCTTCGTAAAAGTATACAGTAACATTTATTTGATTATAGCTTTGAAATAAACAAGAGTTTGGAATATGCACCACAATTGCTATAATATGCCTACTTGTGAACGTGTAGCGGATTTAAACTATATTTTTTTAGTAAATAATCACCATTTTCGTATTGCACCAACATTTAAAACGTACATCACTATTTTTTGACAAAAACACATAAACTTCGAAGCCTCAATACAGAAATGTAAAAGTCACTAGCAATACCCTGTATTTATAAAAGGAATACAATTTATTGTAGGAATGCTCACATTTAAACATACTAATATAGTATTAAAATAGGTCTTAGTATATAAATATTATATTTTAAAATACAGTACAAGCTATATACATAGCATTTTACATATTTACAAGAAATACACTGTTAACTATAATGGAAGAATATTATTAAATCTAAGTATTTTTAATTCATTGATAAAAAACGTATAACGCTCGATTGTTCTAAAAATGTAAAACCCTACTTTTATTCTAAATAATAAACTTAATATATTTAAGAATGCTATGTTGACACTCAATGTTAAATTTAAAATACTTTTTTTTACAGTTCGTATGGTATCCTATTTGTATCATACTTTCCCCGAGACACGGAAATAAAGTTTTTTCTGTTATTTACACTTTATTTGGTAACACCTGTACAATATAAATTAAAGAGTATTTGATGAAGACTTCAGTAGTGGGAAGGCTTTAAGACACCCCCTCTGGATCCGCCTTGAGACCTGTGGGACAAAACGTTATTAAGTCACAAATAAATACAGAACGTCTAATGGTTTCATTGTAGGCCTACTTTTCATACATCAATAATATTATAATATGCACTGGGAGGCCTTCACAGTAATGGGGGGTGTTTAACCTAAAATTAATCTGAACAGCGAGGTAAATTTTGTTTTTTGGCGTTGGCTAACCTGGATATGTGGCTGTATTCTTTTTCTACATGTGATTCATTGTTTCTACATCATTTGCAACAAATTGGAGGTTATGTTTGCGTTTCCATGTGGTTAGTGTTATTTTTATCCGTATTTTGTGGTTTTAAAAACCGTTCTGGATAATTTGGGGAGTGCTTAGTTAATTTACAATAAGTATTGGATATGGATCTAACTCCTAGAAAAAGATGCAAGATAATAGCCTTAAAAGAACATACTTCTTTCACTCAAAGACAAATAGCCGAGCAATGTGGGGTTAGTTTAGGCACTGTAAATTACATCATTAAATTAAAAAACCCAACTGGATCAATTTCCCCTAAAATAAAAGGTGTTTGTGGAAGAAAAAGAAAAACGACGGCTAAAGATGATGCAATGTTGCTTATAAACAGTAAAATTCACCCTGAAAAAAAAATAGCTTTGAGCTTAAAAAAGGTTTAGAGGCCGCTGGTGTTAATATTCATGACTCTACAGTTAGAAGACATCTTTTGGCTGTTAACAGAAAAGCAAGAAGGCCAAGAAAAAAACAGCTGTTAACAGCAGCTATAAAAAACGATTGGCTTGGGTGAAAAAATAAAAATTTTGGAAAGCTGAGAATTGGAGGAAAGTTTTATTTTCGGATGAAAGTCATTTTGTAGTCCAAGGTACAAAGTTGTCCCATGTACGAAGGTCAGATAATGAAGCTTTGTCACCAAAACATTTGCAACAAACAGTAAAGCACCCAGTTAAAAAAATGTTTTGGGGTTGTTTTTCGTATCAAGGGCTAGGACCGTTGGTGTCTATAACTGGAATGATGAATAGTGTAAAATATATCCCTATTTTACAAGGTAGAGTAATTCTTGAACTAGAAAAAAAAAAAAAAAAAAAAAACTGAAAATTACCATTAAAGTGAAATATCTTGTTTTTCAACAAGATCTTGCACCCTGTCACGCATCCAAAGCAGTTAAGGAATTTATGAATGAAAAAGGTATTTTGTGCTTGGAGTGGCCTGGAAACTCGCCTGACATCAACCCCATAGAAAATCTCTGGGCAATTTGCAAAAACAGATTAAGAAAGAAGGATTGCACAACAAAAGAGAAGATGATTTCTGCACTCATTCAAGTTTGGTTCCATGATCCTGAAATTCAAGAAATGTGCAAGAAATTAGTTGATTCAATGCCAAAAAGACTTGAAATGGTAAAACAAGCAAAAGGAGGTCACACTAAGTACTATGTCAATATTTATTTATGTAATATGTCAACATTTATGTAATTAAGCTAATAAATGTTTGTTTTGAACTGAAAATGGGTTTGTTCAGATTAATTTGCACATGACTGGTCTTTTACATGATAGTTCATTATCTTTTAGTTAGATTACACGATGTCATATTCGTCAATAAAATTCTGATTTACTCTTTCGTACAAATAACGTAGGCCTAATCTCAAATCTAAAATTGATTGGTATTAAAAAGTAAACGGTGTTATAATAATGTAACCGGTTGCTATTATATTATTAATATATTATTAAAAATTATATTATTAAGTTATATTATTAAAAATTAAAAAGATGTAGTGTGGTTTCAAATATTAGATAAATATGTATCAAAATAAATCATGATTTATTTTGATACATACGAAAGTTTGGTTTTACCTAATGCATTGTCATACCAGAAATATAAGGAATTTGAAGAATTGTTTCAAAGCCGTATAATTTAATCCTTGGCGATAATCTACAAACGTATGTTGTTTGTTGGGTAAGTAAAGTCCCCTTGATGTAGGTGCTGAATAAAAGATTAACCCATTGTCTGTGTTAACCTACTTAAACGGTAAGCATCTTAAAAACACAAAACTGTAAAACAAATCTACCTTATCTAGACTATTCGTAATTAAGATCCATTTTTCATGAATTTATTTAGTAGTGAACTATGACACTACATAAAACCTTTATACACATTTGTATGGGGAAACAATAATATAGTGAAAGTACCTAATAGAGTGTTGGTGATACTAGAACACCCCTGGCCTCAACATGAGCCTCAGCCACAGTACCAGTGACGTCAGTACTACTGTCGCACTCTGCGTCGCCGCCGCTCTGTTGCTTACTGTGAACAAACGTTACAACCGTGATAAACTACCATGATAAACGACATACTGCTGCTGCTACTAGAACACCCCTGGCCTCAACATGAGCCTCAGCCACAGTACCAGTGACGTCAGTACTACTGTCGCACTCTGCGTCGCCGCCGCTCTGTTGCTTACTGTGAACAAACGTTACAACCGTGATAAACTACCATGATAAACGACATACTGCTGCTGCTACTAGAACACCCCTGGCCTCAACATGAGCCTCAGCCACAGTACCAGTGACGTCAGCACTACTGTCGCACTCTGCGTCACCGCCGCTCTGTTGCTTACTGTGAACAAACGTTACAACCGTGATAAACTACCATGATAAACGACATACTGCTGCTGCTACTAGAACACCCCTGGCCTCAACATGAGCCTCAGCCACAGCACCAGTGACGTCAGCACTACTGTCGCACTCTGCGTCGCCGCTGCTCTGTTGCTTACTGTGAACAAACGTTACAACCGTGGTGAACATGATAAACGACATACTGCTGCTGCTACTAGAACACCCCTGGCCTCAACATGAGCCTCAGTCACAGTACCAGTGCCGTCAGCACTACTGTCGCACTCTGCGTCGCCGCTGCTCTGTTGCTTACTGTGAACAAACGTTACAACCGTGATAAACTACCATGATAAACGACATACTGCTGCTGCTACTAGAACACCCCTGGCCTCAACATGAGCCTCAGCCACAGTACCAGTGACGTCAGCACTACTGTCGCACTCTGCGTTGCCGCTGCTCTGTTGCTTACTGTGAACAAACGTTACAACCGTGATAAACTACCATGATAAACGACATACTGCTGCTGCTACTAGAACACCCCTGGCCTCAACATGAGCCTCAGCCACAGTACCAGTGACGTCAGCACTACTGTCGCACTCTGCGTTGCCGCCGCTCTGTTGCTTACTGTGAACAAACGTTACAACCGTGATAAACTACCATGATAAACGACATACTGCTGCTGCTACTAGAACACCCCTGGCCTCAACATGAGCCTCAGCCACAGCACCAGTGACGTCAGCACTACTGTCGCACTCTGCGTTGCCGCCGCTCTGTTGCTTACTGTGAACAAACGTTACAACCGTGGTAAACATGATAAACGACATACTGCTGCTGCTACTAGAACACCCCTGGCCTCAACATGAGCCTCAGCCACAGCACCAGTGACGTCAGCACTACTGTCGCACTCTGCGTTGCCGCTGCTCTGTTGCTTACTGTGAACAAACGTTACAACCGTGATAAACTACCATGATAAACGACATACTGCTGCTGTTACTAGAACACCCCTGGCCTCAACATGAGCCTCAGTCACAGTACCAGTGACGTCAGCACTACTGTCGCACTCTGCGTTGCCGCTGCTCTGTTGCTTACTGTGAACAAACGTTACAACCGTGATAAACTACCATGATAAACGACATACGGCTGCTGTTACTAGAACACCCCTGGCCTCAACATGAGCCTCAGCCACAGCACCAGTGACGTCAGCACTACTGTCGCACTCTGCGTTGCCGCCGCTCTGTTGCTTACTGTGAACAAACGTTACAACCGTGGTAAACATGATAAACGACATACTGCTGCTGCTACTAGAACACCCCTGGCCTCAACATGAGCCTCAGCCACAGCACCAGTGACGTCAGCACTACTGTCGCACTCTGCGTCACCGCCGCTCTGTTGCTTACTGTGAACAAACGTTACAACCGTGGTGAACATGATAAACGACATACTGCTGCTGCTACTAGAACACCCCTGGCCTCAACATGAGCCTCAGCCACAGCACCAGTGACGTCAGTACTACTGTCGCACTCTGCGTCACCGCCGCTCTGTTGCTTACTGTGAACAAACGTTACAACCGTGGTGAACATGATAAACGACATACTGCTGCTGCTACTAGAACACCCCTGGCCTCAACATGAGCCTCAGCCACAGTACCAGTGACGCCAGCACTACTGTCGCACTCTGCGTTGCCGCCGCTCTGTTGCTTACTGTGAACAAACGTTACAACCGTGGTAAACATGATAAACGACATACTGCTGCTGCTACTAGAACACCCCTGGCCTCAACATGAGCCTCAGCCACAGCACCAGTGACGTCAGCACTACTGTCGCACTCTGCGTCACCGCCGCTCTGTTGCTTACTGTGAACAAACGTTACAACCGTGGTGAACATGATAAACGACATACTGCTGCTGCTACTAGAACACCCCTGGCCTCAACATGAGCCTCAGCCACAGTACCAGTGACGCCAGCACTACTGTCGCACTCTGCGTTGCCGCCGCTCTGTTGCTTACTGTGAACAGACGTTACAACCGTGGTGAACAGACATAATAACTATTTGATACCTAACAAGTGTTTCTGTTCCAAGTATATACGTCACCGATTCAAGCTGTTTAAAGATTTTTTAGAGGTGTAAATATTTATTTGTGGGTTAATAGCGCAAAATACCTCATTGGCGCTCGAGAGCTGTATATGGCTTCACGAAGCTTTAGCTGAGTGTTGCTATAGAATTCGAGATCGATAATGGCTGTTTGTGCTCATAATACACACAATATTTATAACACACAGGTAAACTTTTTAGTTGCAAATAAAGTGTAATTTGGGTTATGTTTGCTCTTTTCTCAAGCACTCACTTATTTTAGAACAGTGAAATCTTTACAACGGTGAAATCAGAGGGAATAAAGTGAAAATAAGCTATTTTGTCATATTTTTACAGTTTTGCAATGTGATATTTCCGTTAGTGGTAAAAAAACCGATCTTATTGGTTTAATCGTTATAAATGGTTATAATTCCAACAACTAAGTACATAAAGTATGTAGACTATCATCATTAGTTAATATACTTACTTTAGTCAATAATAGATCGATAACTTCATAAACTGTCTTGAGCTAATCACCAAACGAAAGATGTTAAATAAAATGGATTTTTAATTTATTTACTTTAAAATCGTCCATTTTTTTCGCAAAACTATACAGGGTGATTGAAACAAGTGTGCCAGCCGTTTTATTTGAAAACTATAAAGCTGGGTTTTCCTAGACGCGGAGTCGGCCAGCGGAGAGCGGACAACGGAGAGCGGAATTGAAATTAACATGGCATTCCGCTCCGCTGCTAGGAAAACAGTAACATTAAATTACCTAAGACAAGCTGAGTCCGCTCTCCGTTGTCCGCTCTCCGCTGGCCGACTCCGCGTCTAGGAAAACCCAGCTTAAGAGATATCAAAAAAAGTTAAATGGTAAGTGCCTTGGACTTTTTATTAAAAAAATTGTAGTAAAGTCGAAAAAATTTTTTTTGCCGCAAATTTTTCAATATGGCCTCCAACTTTGAATTTTCTTATGGAACACCCTGTATTTTATGATGTATTCTGGTAGAAAATGTAATTTTAAGACGATTTTATTCTTGTGATTTTTTTTATAAACCTAACTGTTTCAAAGATAATAATGGTTTAAGTTGTGAAATTTTTAATGGTTTTCGAATAAAACAGCTGGCATGCTTGCTTAGGCCTTCATCGAAACTCTTTCTCATGCAGAAATTTCAAAACTTTAACCATTATTATCTTTGAAACGGTTAGGTTTATGAAAAAAATTACAAGAATTAAATCGTCTTAAAATTACATTTTCTACTAGAATACATCCTAAAATACAGGGTGTTCCATAAGAAAAATCTAATTTGGCGGCCATATTGGAAAAATGGCGTCTAAAATAATTTTTTTGACTCGACTAAAATTTTTTAAATAAAAAATCCAAGGCATTTACCATTTAACTTTTTTTGATATCTCGTATAGTTTTCAAATAAAACAGCTGGCACACTTATATCAATCACCCTGTATACTATGTACTATAAACTATAAACTATGTATTTATACATGAAGTTTAAATGTTAGGCCAATTTTTACAATATTAACCATAAGAATGGTAATGGCATACTTATTCATCTATTATTCATCAGAATGCTTAATGTAGAGGTTCCAGGTAATCACATAGATTAAAGACTATTACGAAAACTAAGAACAACTTACCACTAGAAAGGCTCTCTACGCTGCCTGTAACAAAATATTTGAATTTATTAATAAAACGTTACGCATTAAATCGTACAATAGCTATGGTTAAGTATACTACTACCCCATATATACTGGATGTTGAAATACCAGGAACTATTTAATGCATGTGGATAAAAAATGTTAACTTGTGAAGCTTGAGTTGGTAACCAAACTTCAAACAATGATTAATAGCAATCCAATATAAAACTAACATTTCCCTTTAAAGAACTTAAGATACAATTTTAAATAAGCTTAAATGCGGCAAATGTATCTGTATAAACAGCGTACGAGCTCACACACCATTAATCTTCATTCAAGGTACAGCAAAGGTGGCTCAGTTGAGCTTACAATCTGCTAACCTCATACGTTCATTCATGACTACTCAAGCGGCTCGGCATTTCACATACATCTTCCTAGTTTTATAAACCAATGATTCTCACATGAACGTATTTTATTTTCTTCATTCAAGATGTTAAAACAGAACACTATAAATCAAATTATTATGATTGTGGCCGTGTGTGATTATAGCTTGGACAACAAATATACAAATTTGAAACTGAGTTTAAAAGAAATCTTGTCGTGGATAATTTACAACGTTAAGACAGTTTTTATTAAGAATAGTTTTTACTACTAGGCCTAAATTTATTGCGAACTTAGAGTACAAAGATACTTTACGTGCGCCCTCAGCAAGCGATACCCCCAAGGTATATGTTGCTGTCGTGTGTTCATTTTATTGTTTTGGTAGCCAAGTGGTTATAGTGTTTGCATTGAAACACAGAAAACATATCATATAACACCCCTAGTAACCACCTAAGTGGTTATAGTACAAGTAGTATGTTTTATGTGATTGAAATCAGAAGGTCGCTGGTACGATTCCAAGGGAGATCGTTTCCAAACCCCAATTCCGTTTTGTCATTGGGCTAATGCTGCTATCTAACATAAAGTTTGACGTTACCATTGGCATAGATAACACAAAAAATATAAAACAAATGACCAGAAAGTGGCAGTAGCCATAGTTAGAATACTCCACACCATAGGTAAGGATTAGATTTTTTATTATGGTGTTTATGAAGAGAAAAGAAAATTGATAGAAAAATCGTAATTTACACAGCCCAGTGATTACCTGGGTAATATGTAACACTCTTCCTCCGCTTGTAGGAGGTGTGCGGTATGTACAGTTCACAGTAGAACACTGTAGGCGTGTCCAGGTACTCGTCTTGCAACGTGGTTGTAGCCTCTATGTCGTAGTGGTAATCACGTGGTATAGTCTCCACTCTGGCAGCTACCTCAACACTGCAAAGCAACAATGTAAAGTAACCAATCTACCATGTAATGTGGTTGTAGCCTCTATGTCGAAGTGGTAATCACGTGGTATAGTCTCCACTCTGGCAGCTACCTCAACACTGCAAAGCAACAATGTAAAGTAACCAATCTACCATGTAATGTGGTTGTAGCCTCTATGTCGTAGTGGTAATCACGTGGTATAGTCTCCACTCTGGCAGCTACCTCAACACTGCAAAGCAACAATGTAAAGTAACCAATCTACCAAGTAACGTGGTTGTAGCCTCTATGTCGAAGTGGTAATCACGTGGTATAGTCTCCACTCTGGCAGCTACCTCAACACTGCAAAGCAACAATGTAAAGTAACCAATCTACCATGTAATGTGGTTGTAGCCTCTATGTCGTAGTGGTAATCACGTGGTATAGTCTCCACTCTGGCAGCTACCTCAACACTGCAAAGCAACAATGTAAAGTAACCAATCTACCATGTAATGTGGTTGTAGCCTCTATGTCGAAGTGGTAATCACGTGGTATAGTCTCCACTCTGGCAGCTACCTCAACACTGCAAAGCAACAATGTAAAGTAACCAATCTACCATGTAATGTGGTTGTAGCCTCTATGTCGTAGTGGTAATCACGTGGTATAGTCTCCACTCTGGCAGCTACCTCAACACTGCAAAGCAACAATGTAAAGTAACCAATCTACCAAGTAACGTGGTTGTAGCCTCTATGTCGAAGTGGTAATCACGTGGTATAGTCTCCACTCTGGCAGCTACCTCAACACTGCAATACCAAGTATTGTTGTTGTGTTGTTGTGAGTTGCTTACAATGTAAAGTAAGCAATCTCCTTATAATCTAAAGAAAAAATAATTTTGTAAAATTAAGATCAATTCATATTGGTACTACAGAATTACCAATCTTACTACGACAGTAACGTTGTTTTACTATTGTGTTGGTAATGACGGGGTATAGTCTTAACTGAGTGAAACAATTTATACAAAATTGATGTTTTGTCAATCGTTCAACTCCGTTTCTCCCTTTATCAGTTTATAAAAAATTTACTTTTTTCACTTTACTTTGCTTTTTTCCAGTATCAAAAAATAATATAATCGTAGCTTAGCTACTTCAATAGATACTTAACAAAACTGATTGGAATATTTAAGTTATGAATTAATTACTTTTTTAAGTTGAAAAAGGTAAATATTTTCGACAAAATATTTAATAAAACTATGTTTGAAAGTATACACTCTGAATGTAAATTAAAATATGTCTAGTGGAAATATTCGTATAAAAGAATTGTTTTCACCTGGTCGGTTTTTGTAAAAGACTGCAGAAGAAGTTAAGTGGTAGGATAATAAGAAAGTGGTGATTGATTTAGATCAAATACTGCAATAGAAATTGTAGTATTATGTAATAACCATTTTTATGTATTTTTACTGTCTTCTAGTGAATAGTATAAGCGAAAATATATGCTTTAATATATGATTATTGCTATAACATACTTGCTATAACATTACTTGCTAATAATATTACTTGCTATAACATTCAATAAAATATAACACGCAAAATACCGTTAAAGAGATCATTAATATGGTATCGTCTCATCCTATAATTTATAATTAATTGTAAAAATACACAATACTTGCTTAAAAGTTAACTATAATATCATCAGTTCGTATTGCAAAAGATGTTTCCCTTCATTAGAATAATGTTCAGTAATAATAACTGATGGAATTTATAATTTAATGTGACAAAGAAGTCAGGAATATACGAGTACACGGGCAAACATTAGGAAAGTTAAGGTCGGGCTGCCTCAATGGCTGTGGGTTTGATCTCAATTAGGCAAATGAAGGTTATATTCTGACTGCCCATTGAAACCGATCCCCGCTTTGCGGTGTGCTTTAATGTATTTGTTCAAATAACTTACTAAGCCACCATTTTAGATTAGTTTTACAAGTTTATATATGCTGTGTTTAAGCTACAATAAGTGGATTTAGATAGTTTACATACTTATATCTCGTGTACAAATTTTAAGTAAAACAAAGGTAAAACTAAAAGAAATTAAATTAGGGTTTTTAGGTGCAATTACATTTTGTATATTATTTGAGGAACTAACTTAATTTTTACGATTAAAGTGTTGGAGCGTAGTTCTTACTGAGTGGTGCGTCAGAAACTTAACATTTCCATCACTCACTCAATGAAAAATTTGTCACTTTTAATTAGCCTACATTTAAAAAAGGTGGTATGAAGTCAATTCGACTTTTTCATGTAACTTTTACTATTGGTGAAGATAAATACAACTGGTTTGGGATATAATCTCCTACTATTATAAGAAGCTGCTCGAACACTACTTTCGTACATAACAAGGTTATTAAAGGGCCACGTTGATGATGCTGAACAACATCAGCTCCTCTATTGCTAACAGCTAGGATTATAAATTAGTTCATGATTGTTTCTATTTTGATTTAGTTACTTTTCTACAAATATATTTTAATTACAAAAAAATCTAACGTTTGACATTAAATTAAATTTGTTTGATACTCGTAGGGTGAGGCCTTTATAGAATTAGGGGGCGATTCCTACTACATTTTAAGTTATTAAAAGGACCATACATGAAGATAAAGCTAAATTTTACACAATGATTTAAACTATATAAACAATATACTACGTAATAATATTTTTGAAGAATTATATTTTTCATAAAGCCTGGTGTGATAAAAGAAAACTCGTGGTCTTAAATGTATAAGCTAGAATTTATCAAAACTATTTTATGCAATTTTTATTTCGGGGGAATAAACTTAATGACATTTATTAAATTAGTTTCATCGAATTAATTCATGAGAGGTGTGTGTAAGATCTACAACCTCTTCTTACCTCTATCTTATAATATTTATATTGTACAATACTGATTATATATATATATATATATATATTTATATATACAACAGAGATTATACTGACATTTCATGTGTGATGACGTCCTCTCGGTACAGCGTCATCTTGGGCTCAGGGAACACTCCGTTGGCTCTACAGGTGATGTTGACTCTCTCTAGGGGAGTGCGGGACTGTACCAGGTACAGGTGCTTCTCTGGCGCTGCCAACATCAACATCAGGTCACATGTTATACAACACATTGTAATGTCCTTGAAATAGCTACAGATAGAGTCAGTTATGTTAAATTACACGAATTATTTTATTTGAGCCCTTAGAATGATTTTCAGTAAACTCACAGGGGGCTTTAGGATTAAAACCCTTGATAAGTGTGTAGCGATTTCCAAGCTTTGCAAATCTATGAATAACCTAGGAACCTAGAAACCTAGAAATACTTGCCGTTTATAATTTATAATATTGAAGGGAACCTACTTTCACGGAAGTAATGCCCTTGTCTTATTTTTAAATACGCTAAGAGCTAACCTAACATTAAAACCAAACCTAACCTAAAAAATCACGTAAATCAACTAAATTTTCAACTAAAATCGTATTAATCAACTAAATTCTTAAAAGGACTCGAAAAATAATGATTAGTAAAAGGGAAATCATACTATTAAGGTGTTGTAAAAATATAGTGGTTAGAACAGATAAATTAAGTGTTTTCCGATCCTATTGACATCACAAGTTTTTTTAGTCTGCGTGAATCTCAAAGTTCTCCATGTGCATGTGTGTTTTTGATTAGGCTTGTCATAAATGTTTACTAATTGTAAAATGTTTGATATGCGTTTTACTGAAGTGTGAGACTGAAAGCTCTACCTCTTGATATTATTATGACCTAGTGTGTTTCGACTATTTGTCGGTTACAATTCTTCAGTTCGATAGTTTGATGGTATTTTATAGTTATAAATGCCCTACCTATGACAATCATCTTGCCGACCATGAAGTCCTCGTCCTCGAAGGTGGACACGGAACACTTGTACTCTCCGCTGAGCTCTGTGGTGGGTGTGAGGATGTAGAGGGCGCGGTGCATGGTAGACTCATGACTAGAGGCGCGGTAGTCCAGCCGCAGTCTACCCTTGAGTATCCCCAGGTCCTGGGGTCGCTGGCCGGGGATCCACTGGTACACCGGGGCCGGACCGTTGTTGAAGAACCACTTGACGACAAGGCCCGACGTGGTGGCAAGGTCTGACGGCGTCAAAGTGTACTCGCAGTCTAGGATGGCAGCTTCACTGGTGCCATTGCGTACCTCCTCCGGCACAAAGAGCTGTGTTATCTGTACTCCGCGGACGCCTGTCAACACAATGACACCAGTAAACAAACGAGAACAGCAGGGTTAACTAAAAAGTAAGAGGATAACATGTTTTACATGCATCAGCTATATCCAGTTGGCATGCATTAATTCCTTTCGAGTCAATCCTTTATCTTTAAAGATGGACTTGGATATGTAAAATTGCCTCACATTCACCCCAATTTGTCAAGACCCAGTCTTACCATAGTAAATGATAACACACCGAGTACGAGAGTTTTTAACACTGCCAAATATATTAACAAACATGGCTATTTGTGAGGGACTCGTATACATACATTGTATTCAAAGTTAATGAGTGTACGCTGTAACAGTTTTAACGTGAGACTGCTTCAGTGAGGTTGAGTCCGCATAACAAAGTGTAGGCCTAATAATAGTAGATACAATAGGACAATATGACCCCACTTTCGGCGTTTTTGGACCTAGGACTTTTGAATTTTTTTGGCGAAAAAACACCCAAAATAGGTAAAATATGATGGTTTTACCCTATTTTTGGCGTTTTAGAGGCTATATGGGGGCATTTTTTGGTTAAAAAATGTTATTAATACTGAAAAAACAAGCCTGGAAATGAAGAGCTTTTTTTGACCACTTTTTTTAAAACCCAGCTCTCGGCACGTGAACTCGGACGCGCTCCCGACCCATAGGTTACTTCTGATCCCCAGCGATGACAAACTAAAAGTCTTATGAAAAAATGTTAGAAACAAAAAATTGAGGAACATCTAATCATCTATACTTCTTCCACTGAAAGTTTTTCTCTGACCGAAAAATAAAAAAAATCCTCGCTTACTTACTTTTTCATGTTTGCTTTGAGTAACCTTTTTATATTTTCCTTAATTAATAATTATACAGTGGCATAAATTAAATTATATTTATATTGTATTAAACAGTAGTTTATGTAGAATTTTAATATATAAATTTTATGCTATAAATATTTTTTTTAGAAGCTAGACAAACATGTAAGTGATAGAAGGCGCATCACTTTGAACATCGTCATGCCCCCGACAGTGCCGTGCTGGTAATACCTAGAGTTTGAAACTATTGCTATTGTTGAAATTATATTATAGCACATTTACATACAAAAGAAACTGGTAAATGGTTTTAAATTGTTTAACTTTTTATGCTGTATTATTATGTTGAAGGCTATTTTGGTTGCTGGAATTTTAGCTGTTTTGTTGTATATCAAGCCTTTTTTTAGATATAAGTATTTTTAAACAATAAATCAGACCTTTATTTACTAATGCTATTATTATATTACAATGCATTGGCATACAAATGAAAATGGTTTGATTTATTTGTACTCATATAAAATAATATAATTCTTATGAGTTATAGGGATGTCTGGTGATTAAATCACAAATTTAGAATATTTAATAATGGACTTTTAAAATAATGGAATTAAGTATAGACTTATAACATTTTCATGATAACTGTTTGATTTATTTGTACTCATTTAAAATAATGTTAAAATAGTATTTGATTTTTATGTTGTATTATTGTTTTTTGTTGTTTAAAAGTTGGAACTAACATAGTGTACCTAAATTTAACCATTTGTCGTATCTCAAGCAGTTTTTGAGAAATAAGCATTTTAAAACGATAAAGTCACACCAGTAATGCATGGAGTTTGTAACCATTACCAACACTGATATTATGTTATAATACATTGTCATACAAATGGAACCATTTAATTTATTTACCAAATGGTATTCATATAAGTTTTAGATTTTTAAATTTTTACCCTGTATTATTGTTTTATATCAAAAGTTGAAATCAATGTAGTGTGCCTAAATATGTTTATTTACTGTATCTCAAGCAAATAGATAGAATAGGATAAAGAGGTGTTTTTGGTGTTTTACCTATGAGAATAACATGGGGAGATTTTAAGCCACTTTTTAAAAAATCGTGCTTATTTATACATTTCTATATAAATGTCCAACTCCAAAAATATTTTCAATCCATATTAATGTCTGTATCATGTGAGATTTGTACCAGTTGGTTTGAAATATTTATAAATATAATGTGTTGCTGGAATCACCTTAAATGGCAAGAAACACATAGTGTTGGGACCTCTGGTAAAATATTGGATTTTTTCTAGTTTGGATTAAATATTTGTGAAAAATTGAAAAAATATGTTTTTTACTCAACTATTTTAGCGTCTTGAAACATGTATTACCGAGGAATCAGGCAAATATTTCGTGCCGAAATTATATTTTACCTTACGTGAGAACTTGGAATCATTATTTAAACTCAGTCCTGCTCCACAGTATCATTGCAGGCTTGCTTCTTGTCCCAAGTGGTGAATTGTGTACAGTTTATGTGTGGTGCAAAGACTGGGTTTTCTTTTTAGTTGTGACCAGCTTGTTCCTAAGATGCTAGATGGTATCCACTTTGCCTCTGAACATAAGCAAATTGTAATCTTCAGTTTAGGACTTAAAATTAATGTCGGATGCGATGCCTCTTTAATCGGAAGTTTGGGTTGTGATGAGCTCAACCCCTATCACCAATATCAGCATAGATCCATTGAACTATTATGTGTTATTGTACTTTGTGCTGATTAATATGTGTTTGGTAAATTAGCATGGCACAACACACAATCCCACATCTTGCTAATCGTAGTTGGTAGTTTAACTTAGCAACGATAATAACAAATTATTATGTCATTGCATTATTATGTCATGTCGGGGGTCTATTTGGTGGTCAAAGTAGAAGTAGGGAGCATTGACTTTCTACAATCATGATGAGATATCCAGCCAGAGCCTCAGACTGTAATAAAAAAATAGATGAAAATGCAAACTCTAAAGGCCCTGACGACCATGTTGTATACTTCCAGGCTGGAACAACCTTTACTTGGAATATTGTATATAAATTGTTTGTATACATAAGACTCTTTTAGTGAATGTACTCTTTGATGAAAATACAAAATAAAGATGAAAACTACTTTATGCAAAGAAGAGAAAGTAATTGTGAAGGGTAGCTACAAACAATTGCATTTTAGTGAGCAATGAAAGTTGCTATAATTATTGGGATTGTTTTGGGTAAGTTTATAGATATGCATTGTGTTTACAGGAATTAATCATAGTGGGGATGCCATTTACATCGAGACATATCGATTTAGTTAAAGTGATAAAACGAAGACCATGATAGTGGTGGATAAAGATTTTATTTGTTGAGCAATTGATATGAGAAGGAGTTTCTTGTTAAACAATAACCTGGAAAACCAATACAACATAATGCACTGTCATCCCTCATTGGTATTGTAACTTACAAGCTCTGTTGTTCTTTACTCATTTTCAAAAACATATAAATTATAAAATAAGCCATTTTGTTGTTTATTTTACTGTTATGTATTGTAAGTGTATATATTGAAATAAATGGTTAAATAAATGTAAGTTGAAAAATGAGCCTTATTTTGTCACTAGTTTATTTACATTGATTTGAATCACATTTTTGAACTAACAGATGATTAAATTATTAATTGCATAACATTTGAAACATAGAGATACAACATTTACATTATTAACTGGAAACTATAGATCTATATTATTGTATGAACATAATTTCTGTATTTCATATATGTAAAAGCAATGAGACCATGCTAAATTACAGGATTCAATAACAAAGGAAGCTGATATTGTGCTATATACCTGAGGGTGTAAATATAGAGGTGGGCATTTCCATAGAGACCTAATGATGAATTAGAATGTGAAAGTTCTATGGTAGAAATATCAAGTATGCAAGAGTGATCATCAGTGGTAACATGGTCATCAGGCAATTCATAGAGAGGGGTCAGTCAGGTTGAACTAGTATATTGCAGTGATTCATCCAATATAGAAACAATAGTTACAAATAACCAGAACCAATTACTGGACATTGTAGTTACCAGTTTTCCTATCCTACTGTTAAAATATGAACCTCATTTTAATATGAGTTGGTGAGTTCATGCCCGGTAACATGAATGTAATAATGGTTCTAAATGTATTTATCTTATTTTATGGTAGATTTCACTATGTGTGCTTACTCTATGGTAAAATTCTTTGAGATCATTTAATATTTAACACACTTAGATTAGTGAATAAATCATCAAAGTGTGATATAAATATGCTGGGTGAAACGTATTAAAACTTGCTTCCAGTTTATCTATTAAAGGATTGTCAAACGTCTCGGTTTTGCTAACTATGACCTGGTGTCCCGAAAAGGGCTCTTAAGACCATAAGATGACAATACATAAGGTTTGGACTATTGACTGTGATGTGAATTTATGCATACTTTGTCATACAAATTTTACACTATAGTATTTTTACGAGTTCTGACTGTGACTGTGATGTGAATTTGTGTGTATTTCATCACATAAATTTCACTCTATTTTCACTCATTTCACACCACTATTATGATGTGCTGTGCCTGCATGAGTGTGTTGAGCCATGAATATCATAGACTATCAAGCTATAAGGACGTATGCTAGAACTGATCTAACCTCTGCCAAACCCTGAATATGAGCCTGGAGGCACAGACTTTGGACCAAGGATCAATAATTGTAAATAGACAAACCTGTGTGATAGGATATAGAACACTGAAAAATAAAAATGTTAGAAACTTTAGTCTTTTACTTATTTACCCTTATCACCCTCTGTTTTGGAGGAAACTGCCTTACAACCAACATTATGAAGATTGCATTAATACTCATGATCTTGGTCATTATAAAATTTATCAAACATAAATCCGTATTTGCCATTATTCATAGACCTTTCCTTGTCTATTATGAAAAAGCTATCCAACACTGGTGGTAAAGACTTTTATATTGATGAAATGAAAAGTCATTATTAATATGATTGTTAAATATAAGGTTTAAAATTTATATTGCCTTGTTTGGATAATATTAGAAAATGTATGTTATCGCATAAATGTTTGCGTACTTTCTAAGTAAAAGCAGTTAATATTTTTATGTTGACCCATTGAGAGAAATTGTATACTATTTGTACTATAAAAA